TCCTGATTGAATTATTTTCCACAAAAAAATATAATAAAGCAAGTGGTTTTAAATAAATAAGTTTGTATAATAATTTTCTACGACTACGTGACTCAAATGAGTTTGTATCAATTCAATTAGGAGAGAATTTTTGCTGTTGATTTATTTTACACAAAAAAAGAAAGTGGTTTTAAATAAATTAATTTGTATAATAATTTTATCTATGACGACCTGACTCAAATTTCGTGTCAATTCAGTCAGGAAAGAATTTTTTCTGATTGAATTATTTTACACACAAAAAGAAAGTGGTTTTAAATAAATAAATTTTTATAATAATTTTATCTATGACGACCTGACTCAAAGTTCGTGTCAATTCAGTCAGGAAAGAATTTTTTCTGATTGAATTATTTTACACACAAAAAGAAGGTGGTTTTAAATAAATAAATTTTTATAATAATTTTATCTATGACGACCTGACTCAAATGAGTTTGTCTCGTCAGTCAGATCATTTTTCCTTTTGAATTATTTTACACAAAAAATACAAAATACAAGTGGTTTTAAATAAATACATTTTTATAATAATTTTATGTATGACTACCTGAGTTAAATGAGTTCGTGTCAATTCAGTCAGGGGATCAGTTTTCCTGTTGAATTATTTTACACAAAAAATACAAAAAACAAGTGGTTTTAAATAAATAAATTTTTATAGTAATTTTATGTATGACTACCTGAGTTAAATGAGTTCGTGTCAATTCAGTTTTCCTGTTGAATTATTTTTCACAAAAAAATACAAAACAGCAAGTGGTTTTAAATATATAAATTTTTGTAATAATTTTATCTACGTTTACCTGATTCAAATGAGTTCGTGTCAATTCATTCAGGAGTTTCTACAGATTTACCCCGTGATATAAAACATATATATTCAAACTTTTTTCCCCACAATAAGGTTTATGGTCGTCGGAAGGGGTAAAAATAAAAAAGTTTTAAACGATTTTTCAGTTTGCCCCAGTTGACTGTACTTTACCGCAGATTTGTTGATACGATCGATGTCGTCCTCCAGCGTGTTTTTGCCCGGAACAACGTCAAAAGGTAGGAGTTCCATTGGAAAAAGTTACACCGGCTATAAATCTTAGACAAGTTTGAGCTTAACGGACATGTCGCTCTGAAATTTTGGAAATAGATTGCTATAAAAATACCATGGGGGAAATATGACAAATATGATACACATCATTAAGAAACAAAGCCAACTAATTTTAACTGTATTAAAAGAAATCTAATGCCTTGTTTTATTATAGCGATACTAAGACCAGAAAAACAATGAAATTAAATACATTATTAAAAATATTTATGTATTTATTTTAAATATACTAAAAAGTTAAATCTGTATTTAGTCCGTTACCGACTATTCTAATCGTGCTGTTGTGTAAGAGGCTTTTCGGTCTTGGTTTAACCTGCTTATATCCTTGATCAACCGAAACGGAAACGAAAATGAGACGAAACAACAAAACTACCCGTTCTTCACCCTACAGACCCGATGGAGAAATTTTACAGAACAATAAATATTAGAACCATCTTGGAATTATTCTTGTTTGCTTCTTATAGAATTAGCTCATTCCAAAATATGCTACATTATTTACGAAGTTTAAATCATCATCACGTCACCTTTCCTATCGAAGGCTGAGAAAATTGGGATGGAAAATGAAGAAAGTGGATTTTTGGTAATAATTTAGCTATGGAAAAAATCATAGAAAAAGTCGTAACGTAAAAAGCGCACTGTACAAGTTTATCAATCCAATTTTGCGATACTGTGAAATTATCGATTTTATTTATATTTGAATAGGCAATGATGTCTATAGTGATCAATCTAAGAAGAAGTTTTATTACGGTTAAAATGTACTCCATGTGTTGTTCTTTTAATAAAATCTAAGAGGGCACTATTTAACACTATGGCACTAATTAACAAGAGTTAATAAAAAGTAAAAATATGATGATAGTTTATGTATGTGCGGTGCGAGCTGGGAGAACTTAGAAGAGAGCAGCTTGTAACCGGGACTCCGATTGATCCTTAGATGGCAGTTCAACCGAATATACGGGCTACTTTGAACTCGACGCGACTCTTCGAAATCTTTGACAAAGTTTTAGATATAACAGAGGAAAGGGAACCCGAATTGGGCAGCCATCCGGCTCCACCCTAGGTCATTCTGGCCAATGTGCATCCATTTCGAGCTTGCAGACACGGGAGAATTGTATGCAATTTGGTGCTGCTTAGAGTGATTCCAAACGATCGACTACTTAGTCTGCACCTATTCCACTGAGTGGGGTTGCTGATGTCTGTGGCAGTCTTCCATGGACCCTATCATTGTGTTCTTGCTGGAGAGATACTCTGAACTGGGAACTTTTCGGGAAAATAGTGGTTGTTTCAGATAGATAGGTCTGGAGTGTGAAAAGGAGGACGAGTACATACCTAACCACCGCGATCTAGCCCTCTGATGCTAGAAAAGAAATAAAGATAGGATTGAAGGAAATAGTAACCTCAGAGGGTCGAATTGGCAGAGAAGCTCCTACGGATCAAGAGCACAGTCGAAAGATAGCCCTCGGAAGATCTGAATTTCAAAAGAAACGTCACCCTCATTTCGTTAACCATATGTGAAGCGGGGTCACTATTTTTAGGCCAAAACTCGGCAAGCAGAGAATGGTTGCTCGATGTGTTCCAATTAATGTTGTTATAGGTCTTTCCTGTCATTCATGTCAAGGATCTTAAAGGTGGCATTAATTGGCTCCATATAAAGAACTAATATTGCCACCCGATATGAGAACTGTGCTTAAGCATGTTAACAACTATTTGGGTCCCCCATTCCAATTTTTGGAGGAAACGGACAGTTTTTTTTCTTTTTCAGTGTATTGAGATTGGGTCGAATTGGAAGATCGAGTTTTTTTCAATAACAAAAAAATTGAAATTGTTAAGAATATAAATATCTCGGTGTAACGCTATCCCCTCGTCTGTCTTTCAATTATCATGTCAACAATAAAGTGTCTACAACGAAACGTGCTCTGAACTGTATATGGCACGACTTAATTTCCCAAAATTTTATTCAGACTGTTCCACTCAGTTTGCCGCTATGTTACGCCTCACAAGTCTGGGGGTATGAAAAATTTGAACAGCTTGAAAAAACTCAACGTTTTTTCATTAGAAAGTTATTTGCCCTTCCCAAAACTACCCCGAATTTTATGATTTATTTAGAAACTAAAGTTTACCAGTTATTTTTATATACCTTCAAACTTCATTTTAATTACATCTTTAAACTCTTGAAACATCCTGATTACCACCTTTCCAAAATAGTAGCACTGGAAGTCGTTAGTCGTGGTGCATTGTGGTTTGAACGTTGGAATAGCATTTGTAGGGATCTATCATGTGACTCATCATTTTCTATAAATAACTTCAATGAGTGGCCTTTGCAGTTTAAGGAAATTATAACAAAACTGAGTGTCAATTTCAGTGAAGAACTTGGTGAACAAGTCAGATCAACCTCGCGCTTTTTATTCTATAAGGTTTGTCATTGGTCGAGTTAAGGTGGTTATTCAAAATCAGAGGGGACCTCCTTTATCTCATTGGTGCACCTTTTCGGGCTAGAGAAAATGTAATTTGTTCATTATGCAATGACCAGGTTAAAGAAGACATAGTGCATTTTATTGCAAAATGCACTATCCTATCGGAGATTCGGCTTCTGCATCTAAATTTTACTAAATTGAATGTGACACAGGTTATTGACTCACTGCTTAATGAATACAAAAATTTAATCAAATATGCTCGCCACGCCTGGCACAATTTAATTTTTGAATATTTTAAAGCCTTGTCATTCTAAATTGCTGGCCCAAATAATTTATATATCTATACTTATTGTAAAATAAACAAAGAACAAAAATTATTGTTTATAATGTATGTTAGTAATTAATGTAATTATTAAAAATTAAATTATCAATTGTAATATTTATTTACGGATCAATTTTTTTTTCTTTTTTCTCTGTGTCGACCAAAAATTTAAGACAAATGAAAATCGACCTCCGGCAGACGGACCCTCCATGCCGTAATTTTACTTTAAATTATATATTATGTAATGTTTATAACTTTTCTTTTTTGCAATAAAGTATCATTATTATTATATTTTAGATTTCGTGGTCCGACTGACCAAGTAACATCTATCAATTAATTAATCTTTACGTAAGGTATTGGTTGAGGTAAAAAAGTCAGTGTCACGAGCGGGATTCGAATTTTCCCTCCTTTTTGTCATTTTTCAAATGTCATGTAATCTATTTGATTTTCGGCGTCAAATGAAATGGACACGGAGTGCTTTAGTAAAGTGGCCCGATTGATCAAATAAATTCTTTTCAATTAAGTAATCTTTAAGTAAGGTATTGGTTAAGATAAAAAGTCAGTTCACGAGCGGTATTCTGGTGTCCGAGTGGATCGAAGTCGCGATAGTTCAAGTGGTAGAGCAACGGCATATTTAGCCCAAAGGTCGTGGGTTCGAATCCCGCTCTAGACACTGACTTTTTTACCTCAACCAATACCTTACTTAAACATTACTTAATTGAAAAATATTTATTAACAGGATTATGTAATGTGAGAATGCAGATTGTGAATCGTTTAAATTAGTTATGTACTAAAGGGTGATGGAATAATGCTGATTATTACATTTCCCTACTTGAATGAATGGTATTTTAATAGGAAAGAATGCAGTTAAGAAGGAGTGAGTAGGCTTTAAAAAGCTGTATGCATTGCGGGACCAAATTGACCACGCTATCTATCCATAGTCCCATGATCTTTGCTTATTGCGAAAAAGTTATAAGTATTTATGTATGAACATAGAAAAATATATTTGCGGAATTCATATTATATAAATATGTTAATTAATTAGTCCTCTTTCACATAATTTATTGGATTTTTACTGTTTATTATTAAAAATGCAATTTAATTTGAAACCAAAGCGTTGGTATATGGTTAAAAATATTTTTTTTTATAGATTTGCCAGAAAGCGGACCCCTTCTCCAGCTGGAGCGACCCATCGACTCGTACAGCCCCGGGGAAACGTTGAGAGCCAACTGCAGCTCCCCTCCATCAAAGCCGGCACCGATTCTCAATTTTATCGTCAACGGGAATCCAGTAGGTCTATCACTATAGATCACGAGTTTTCAAAATTCTACAAAAAAGTATTTAAACAGAAAACCGTTGTTAAACAATGTTTATGTAAAAAAAACTGAATGAAATGATATGAGGTCCGTTCAGACTCGCTCAGTCTCTAGATTATGGACTATTTTAACGTATATTTCTGTTGGTGTTTTTTACAATCCGTTTACGTACCTATCCGTTCTTTTCCGGCTCAGAAAGTTGGTCCGGTTCACCCAGCAAAAAATTTTAATGATACAATTACAAGTGACAATTTCTGACCAGATGGCTAAGTTCGTGAGTTCAGATAGAAAAAGTGTCTTGAACATTTCATTATAAATTATAAAATATTTCCTTTCTCACGGCTTCAAAACCCACAATTCGTGCGTACTTATCGTAAAAACTTTAGCTCGGTACTAGGGCGACTGAGGCAACTCGTAAAATTTACGCTGCGTTCGGTGATGTAACAATAAGTGAACAAACTGTAAAAAACTGTTACAAAATTTTTAAAAAAGTACTACATCAAATACAAAGCAGCACCTTTCAGCATTCACCGCTATTCGATTTTCGCGCTATTAGGATCTTCGGTGACACCCAATTCCGTGTTACCCGAACAGGATTCATTTTTCGTGACAATCCGATCAAAAAACGTCTCTACTTCTTGTCATCAAAGCGATATGAGTCAAAGGTGGCTTAGACGCTCAAGTTTTTTGCCGTCGACCAATTTATGAGGAAGCTTCCGTTCCAAGTCGATATAATCTAGAGCAAATGGTTTCATAGCTTGCAAATTAAAACGCACGGCAAATTTTCCTATATGCCTCTGCCGCCTTAATTAACTAAAAAATTTTTTGGTTTCCTGGTAAAAAAAACGACACCAAAAACTCATACTTCTATCGATTTGTTTTGGAGATGTTGATATTATCCTTCCAAAATCGATAATTTCAATTTATCGTGAAACTGTTAAAAAAAGAAGAAAATTGAAATTTAATTAAATAAATATTACAATTGAATTTTTGTTGTTTTAAATACCGAACTTTAAATAATTAAAAATAATCAGTTACTCGATAAATTGAAAAAACAACGTTGCATAAGGGTTTGCATAAAGTCAAAATAAAGGAAAATAGGGATCAACAAAAACTTTCTAACTTATTTACGGAGGCCAAAGTTATGCCGTTAGATGCAGTTTTTAAGGTTGTAATTTCCTGTAAACTTTCCATTCGATTGTTGAAGTTATTTCAAAGTTGCCCCATTTTTTGCGATTGTAGAAACAAAATCGGAGGTTTTGGAAGGTTATTTTAAGATGAAACATATTTTTTTCAAGTCAAGTAAGAAAATATTGTAACTTACTTCGTTAAATTATTGCATAATTTATGACCGAGCGACACAGCAAAGTAGGTTAGAATATTTTTTATCAAGGAACACAGATAATATTTGTTTCCTGACCTCTTGAAAATCTCCTGAGTACAACTTTTTGAGAAAATATTTTTTTCTCTCCTAAATGCCCCCGATTTTCCCCGAAAAACAGGAAAATGGAGATAAATTTGAAACGGCCCGACTGATTGATCTACTTGAAACTTTACGTGGGTTTAGAATCCTAAAAGCTCCACTTAACGGCACAAACCTCTTTCTCCGTAAATAAATTATAACCGTAGTTATATTTGGTTAAAATCCAGAGGAATTATGCATTTGTAAGTGGAACATTGTACAAAAATTTATCCAGTTTCATATTGTAAAATTCAAATATATTGATATACAGGGTGAGTCATTTTTGACGCACCATTGGAAAATCAACGTGGGTGCGTTTAAATCTGACTCAAGGCCTATTTCTTTTGATTTTAACATTAGAAAAAGGAAGTGAGTCAATTTTCGGTGCACCATAGGAAAATCAACGTTGGTGCGTCTAATTATGACTCGGCACATTTTATTTTGTTAGTCTCGTACCAAAAAATAGGCGAGTCACTTTTCGACGCACCATTCGTTACAAATTAGTTTTAGTAGGTTGGAAGGAAAATAAACAAAACCAATATTATTAAAACATTATTCAAACACAATGTAAAAATTAAAAAAAAATTCTTCACAAATTAATTTGATTAAGGTTTAAGAGTATTTTTTTCTGGTAAAGTAAAAAAATTAAATAAATGTAACAATCTCCATTTTTCTGGTAAAGTAAAAAAAATTAAATAAATGTAACAATCTCCTTTTTTCTGGTAAAATAAAAAAAAATTAAATAAATGTAACAATCTCCTTTTTTCTGGTAAAGTAAAAAAAATTAAATAAATGTAACAATCTCCTTTTTTCTGGTAAAGTAAAAAAATTAAATAAATGTAACAGTCTCCTTTGTTAGCAAACCAAAAATGTTCAAAATCATTATAATAATTGTTCGAACAGGCCTCCATTGCCACAGTAGCCTAGTCTATCGTAAAACGTTGATCGGACGAAAAAAATACTCTTAAACCTTAATCAAATTAATATGTGAAGAATTTTTTTTTAATTTTTACATTGTTTGAATGTTTTAATAATATTGGTTTTGTTTATTTTCCTTCCAACCTACTAAAACTAATTTGTAACGAATTGTGTGTCGAAAAGTGACGCCTATTTTTTGTTAGGAGACTAACAAAATAAAATGTGCCGAGTCATAATTAGACGCACCAATGTTGATTTTCCTATGATGCACCGAAAATTGACTCACTTCCTTTTATTAACGTATTAATCAAAGGAAATAAGCCTCGAGTCAGATTTAAACGCACCCACGTTGATTTTCCAATGGTCGTCAAAAAATGACTCACCCTGTATATAATAACCTTGAAATACCTTCAAGAAAACTCGTATTAAAAAAAAATTACTTATTTTTTCTCTGCTTTTTTTCGATCTAGTATCTTCAAAAAATTTATTAATCATCAGTTGTCAAACATCCTTCCTCTTAAGACCATCGACGACGTACTTATTATTTATATACATTTTACTTGTTCATCCATTTGGTCTTAGAATAATAATCTTAGTCAACTCATTCTTAGCCGGGATTAACAGAAAAAAACAGTAGGTTGAATAAAAGAACAAAAGGATTAGTTGAGGCTTTCCCATAAGAAATTCACCGTAAATACCCTTTTATAAATCCTTTTGTATTAATAACGCTCCGATGGGGTTAAGTTGCGTTTTTTAATCTTGATGGTGAATCAATTTTCCAGGAAAAGATATTACTTTTTGTCGTGCGACTTTACCGAAGTATCCGTTGGTTTTTCAGTGCTGGAAGGAAGGGGCTTGTGAGAGGAGGGTCGTACCCTTGAGCGACACGCTACACTGGAGTGCAAGCTACTTGACACTGCACCTGAAGCCGACGCATTTCAGAGGTGGCTCCCTCAAGATTCGCTGTACGGCTGTGATCAAAGGATTCTACAAGGAGGAAGCACAGGTCGACCTGAGAGAGAACACTGTCTACCAAACGGTAATGGTCGGCTCCCTCAACACAAGACATCTCGGTAAATGTTATCACCCGTTAAAACTTTTTCCTGTAATGTTTGTTTTTTCTTTCTTTCTTTTATAATTGGGGTAACAAGAAAGCAGCAAAAGTAAAAATTTCGATAATATAAAATAATGTTTTCATTTTATTAATGTACTCGACCTCACAAATTAATTGAAATTTTCACTTAGTGTCTGCTGGATGATGAACCTATATTTTGATCGTATAGATCATTTTGGTCTGCAAAAAGCGGAAACGCTTCTGACAGATCAAAATAACTGAGATAGACAGAGCAAAGTGATACCAAATGGCACAAACAACAATCTGTGTTAAATTTTGAATTTTTATTTTTAAAAAATTTTTTATCTGAATAAAATTTGAACAATTCATAAAACTAATTACTGATTATCAATAAATGAACCCTAAATTAATTCGCTTTCTTCACTTTTTTTACAGCATCCTCAAGTCTGATGTTCGAGTTCGGATACAATCTAACAATCGCATCATTCTGTCTCTTGTGGATATTTAGGTGATTATGTTACCCAGACTTGTTTCGGCGTTTTTCAAAAATGGAAATTGTTTCAAAGAATGAGCTCATTTCAATGTAAAACTTTTCAAATTAGGTTATTGGCATTTCATATAGTTTATTTTTAATGAAATTACAAAATGATATGAATTGTAATTATATCTTAATAATAAGCGTAATTGGTTTTTTACTGTTAATAAAATTATTTTTAATATAATTCTGTTTTGTATTTATTCCTTTATTATTAGTTCTCCTTGGCGATAAAATGCCAAATCTCTATAGACCATTCAACATCCGATGACCAAAATACAGTTTCTTACCAATCAATCAAAGTTAAATCTCTATTTCTTTTGTGGATAACGTTTGAAAAACTTACTTTTTTTTTATCTAGGAACAATACAATCAAGTGTTATTGCCGTTCATTACTCTTTCACTACTGTTGGAAAACGCCATGGGATTGCTTTATAGGTGGTGTTGTGACAAAGGTTTATCAATTAATCCTGCTAAACTAGAATTGATAATGTTTAGCAGGAGAAGAACATTAGGTAATTTTAAAAACCCTAAATTTCAGGGCATAGAATTAAAGTTAGTGGATTCCATCAAATTCCTTGGTGTGACACTTAATAGGAAACTTGATTGGAAAGGTCTTATTAATAACATATACAGGAAAGGCACTATATCAATGGTACAATGTAGGAGAATTGTCGGTAAAACATGGGGCATTAAACCATGGGTAGCCAAATGGCTATATACTGCAATTATTCTACCTAGATTCTTTTTTGCAGCTTTAGTGTGGTGGAAAGGTCTAGAAAATAAAGGGAATAGAAATAAATTAAGGTCATTTCAAAGACTAGGATGTTTGATGATGACAGGAGCATTTTCAACTACACCCACCCTAGCTCTTGAAATCATAACCAATACCACACCCCTTCACATTGAGGTTAAGGTCAGAGCACTAATCAGCTGCTACAGATTAATTAGCGAGGGCAGCTGGAATCATAAGTGCAATAACATAGGTCACTCGAAAATCTCACAACTATTGAGTACGGTTAACGGTCAATTATTAAGCGTTAGTGATAAAAAGATTAAAACCCCTTCGGGGAAAAAGCACTTTCAGGTTGTCACCCCTTGTGATTATAATTATAGTCTGGATGATGACCATCGTAACATAGACTGCTACACAGATGGATCACTTATCAAAGGAAAAGGGAGTGGTGCAGGAATCTACATACCAAAATTAGGAATCAGCATCTCCTCCCCTCTTGGCAACAACACCTCGGTTTTTCAGGCGGAAATCTGGGCCATCAATGTGTGTTGTAGAACACTTATGGAAAATAAAATTAAGGGAAAAGATATTAAAATCTTTTCTGACAGTCAGGCTAGTCTTAGGGCATTACAAAAAGATTTGCCAACCTCACGACTGGTGGAGGAAACTATAGATCTTATCAATAAGATCTCTTTCAGGTTTGAGAATAAGGTAACCCTTATTTGGATACCAGCACGTAAAGGACACCATGGCAATGAAAAGGCGGATGGCCTAGCCAAAGAAGGTTCTAATACTGCGTTTGTCGGGCCACAACCGGTATTACCTCACTCTACGAGCACAGCGAAAGAGAGTATCAATATCTGGGGCCTGAAACAATTCCTTAGGGAGTGGAATTTATCCCCCGGATACAGGCAATCGAAAGAGTTTGTTAAGGCGATCAAACCAGCGAAATGGCTATTCTCTATCTCAAGGAAGGGAATTAGGAGGCTGGTAGGTATTCTTATGGGCCACTGCCCACTGAGAAGACACCTCTTCGTAATGGATATCCTACCAGATCCCTTTTGCCGCTTCTGCGAAATAAAAGAAGAAACGGCAAGGCACTACCTTGCAGAATGTGATAGGTATGCTCGGTCTACATTTGAAATCTTTGAAGGAGAGGACATCACCAAATCACTCCCCGAGATAAAATGGTCCAAAATCTTGGGGTTTGTAAACCGACCAAGTCCTGGACCTTACCCCTCGGGTCTTGGTCGCCCACCCTGCATAATATACAGGGTGAATTGCTACTCGTGCTACAAACTTCTCCAGTAGATTCTTCACCCTAAAATGAACAAAAAAGTTCATATTGTCCATGGTCCGNGAATCGGACCATGGACAATATGAACTTTTTTGTTCATTTTAGGGTGAAGAATCTACTGGAGAAGTTTGTAGCACGAGTAGCAATTCACCCTGTATATATATATAGCAGCTTCAAAATGAATGTGAATCATTTAATTGACTAGATCACCATATAAATAGCCCGGGTCGTGCCTTGGCACCTTATAAAGAACGTGTAGGCATGCCGCGGATTTAAAAATGGTTCTCTTGTACAGTAGCTAGTTTCTCGGTTTCCAGTTCCGCTTTTTGGAGGACGTGGGTTTTTTATTGTACGTAGTTTTATGTATTTTGTGGTTATGTGTTTTATTTCAGAAAGTGTATTTATTAGTGTGACGGGTAGATGATGAAATATTGAGTTATCATCCCCCCCTCCAGCAGTGTGTGTACAATTAATAAAAGTACCCCATCAATCCTGATTTAAATTAGATTATTAATATTCTGTACAGGTCGATGGAAAATTTTCTAATACTCCACCGAGTTATCAGAATGAGTGCGTGTTCAAACGAAAAATCCATTTTTGCAATTAAACGTTTATTTTCTACTGCTGGTAACTGACCATTGAAAAATTAAATACAAGTGCTTAAAGCTCGGTAGTACGGGCAACTTTTGCGCAATCGCCATATCTTTCAGTATTTACAGAACTAAGAAAATCTTACTTAAACTTTAGACAAGAACTTTGGAAACTCGTAAAAGCTTATTTTCTAACTGATTTTGTATTTTGCTCGCTTAACTAAGCAATAATAAAACAAATGAATCTCATAAGGCTTTTAATCCTCTTTCTCTTGGTGTAATCATATTTAAAGTTGGTTTAATATTTTATCAGATACGGTGGTTTTATGGAAAAAGTTGTGGGAGGTTGAAGTAAAACGAAAAGTAAAATATCTAGAATACAATTGAGATTAGACTTTGGGACTATGTTCGAGGGACACTCTCTATTTAATGCGATTTAACTAATCGCAAACAAAATAAATTACACGAGAAATTACAAGGCAAAACGATATTAAAAATTAAAATTTAGATTCATTAGAGTTCGTTGTCCGATTGACCGAATAACTTTTTTTTTCAATTAATTAATCTTTCTGTGAGGTATTGGTTGAGATAAAAAGTCAGTGTCACGAGCGGGATTCGAACCCACGACTCTCGGCTAAATACGCCGCTGCTCTACCACTTACATAAAGATTAATTTATTAAAAGTTAGGTTGAAAAGGCCTACTAATTATTTTATAGCTTACAAAAATCCATTTTGCCCAGAAGACTAACAAAACAAATTACCTAGTAATACTGGCTTAGTTTGAAGTGAAATGCTTTTACTCCATAGTTATAAACAAGTTAGAATAACTTTAAAGAATTAACTTAAGTAATGAGATATAATTTAATGTTTAAAAGCATGAATTCAGAAAATTTCAGAAACAATTGATTAATGTTAAGTACCTTAAAAACAAACCATATTTTATCAATCTAAATCTCCTTTTCTGTTTAACAATATGTTGAAAAATGGATTTTGAGTTATCTGTAATTTTGTAAGTTCATTTTATACAGAGCCTCTCGAGGCTATCATATATGTTAGAGTATGCAAGAGCATCATAATACACTGTCTTTATTGCATCTGGTTTTAAAATATACCTTAACTTCACTAATTTCGTGGCCCGCTTGACTAATTAATATATTACAATTAATTAGGGTTTTTAGTTGAGATAAAAAAGTCAATGGCACGAGCGGGATTCGAACCCACGATCTTCGGCTTGATACGCCGCTCCTCTATCACTTGAGCTATCGTGATCTCGATCCACTCGGACATCAACTTCCTATCTCAACCCCACCTTTTGAGATGACCTCGATCTATACTTCACTAAAGCTCTCCGTGGCCATTTCATTTGTCGTCGAGAATCCAACCCGATTACACGACATTTGAAAAATGGCAAAGGAGGGAAAATTCAAAAGGTGCGGTTGAGATGGGAAGTTGGTGTCCGAGTGGATCGAGGTCATGATATCTCAAGTGGTAGAGCAGCGGCGTATCAAGCCGAAGATCGTTGGTTCGAATCCCGCTCGTGCCATTGACTTTTTTATCTCAACTAAAAACCCTAATTGATTGTAATATACTTAAAGTTTTAAATTTACAGCATGGCTTTCGAATTTTCTTTATTAAATATAATTAATTAATATGCAAATTGAATCTATGATATAAATCAAACAACATTCCAAGATACATGACAGACGTTACAAAACGTAAAACAGAGGAGGTACATTTTTTGGGCGTTCTTGCGATCAGTTTGGCTACATTTAAAAAAAATAACATCAGGGACTTCATTGGCGCAAACTTTAAAATTGGACAACGAAAATGTTATCAAATTTCTCTTCTCTAAATTTAGCTGAAGGAAATCCTTGCTAATCAAGTTTTGTGTTTTAGATGTTTTTCCGTAAGCCAATTGTCTATTATGAGGGAGAAATTTAATTAGAAACATTAAACCACTTTTTATTGAACGAAGGTCTTAAAGCATATTATGAGTATTAAAGAAGGTGAATAAGGATCATTATCACTATAACAAATGTATTAATTAATATGATAAATTATCAGTTCTTATATGTTCACTATTATAGTAAGTAATGTTTTCAGAATTTAAGGTCCGAAAATAAAGTATATGAAATCGGTTATGGCATTTATTTACCGAACTCGATTGTAACTGCTCCAATAACAATAACTTTGACCACAATAGATTCAATTCCAGTACAAGAATCTGAGCAGATTAGGGTTACTACCTCTTTTGACATTTATTATCGTAGCCATTTATTTAGAAAGTAACATAGATTTATGATTACTTTCTTGACAAATAAACGTCATTATTGCCTATTATTAAAGCTGAATTATTTTTATGTTGGAGCTATAAAGAGGAAAAAGAAATAAGGTGAGAATGAAATACAATTATATGGTGTACAAATGGCCCCAAAACCAGTTAAGGAACTAGATTCTGTGCAATTCCAAAACATGGGCAATCAAATTCATTAAAAAAAATAATAAAAGTCA